GGGGTCTGTCGGAGGTTTCTTCCGTTAAAGGGAGTTTTTCCTCCCCACTGTCGCCAAGTGCTTGCTCAAGGGGGATTTGTTGGGTTTTCCCTATGTAATAATATTGATAACAGTAAGGTCTAGACCTTACTTTGTAAGTGTCCTGAGATGACTTTTGTTGTGATTTGGTACTATACAAATAAAATTTGATTTGATTATATTCAGAGGTGTTCCTAATATTCTGACCCTCTCATGTACATATGTCAATGGGCAGGACAAAAATATAGAAACCTCTAAATATAATGTAGGCTGGTACACCACCACCTTTAAGTATGACCTTAATTGAATTTATACATTTATGACAATCTCACCAAAAACTGAAACATTTTGAGCTTCATAAACACAAATGTTAAGGCAGAAGTGTTGCACTGAAGTGCATACAGATGTACAGGTGGTCATAATGTTATGCCTGACCGGTGTAAACAAAAACAATCTACCTCTTGTAATGCAGTGGCCTTGTGGCCTGTGACAAGTCTACACATGATGATGTGCTCCAGTAGAATGACCTGAAAAGTAGACAAGATTGGGCTGCAGTCCAACACTGAAACACAATGACAAAACATGGACACAATTAAGTCATGCAAACTTTTTTTTTACAGTTTGAAAAGCACTGTTCATTCATGGCACCACAAGTGTGTCACTCACTTTTTAGTTTCTCTAACTGCATAAGAGCCTTGTCTGTGTACTTCTGGGCTTTCTCCAGATAGCCCGCTTGCATGGAGTGCATTACTGTCACCTGTAAAATGGCAAGAAACCAATTAATAAAGTGGATGTAAAAAAAAAGAGAACGAATTAAAGTGCCAAGGTATCTATACACAGAATTTGACTTTGCAAGTCACAGTAACCATATCTCTGCTTCACTGCAGGTGTGTCAAATTACCCATTAGGATAATACCAACAGCCTCACCAAAAGGTGTTGGTATGGATTTTCTTTCAATCCTAATCTCTACTCTAATCCCTAAAATACAGTGTATGTTGGTATGTGAAGTGGGAGAATTTGTACCAGTTCGAATGCGGTATGACCACATGCAACACACAGAAACAAATCTAAGGCATACATCCCTTGATGATGTTTTCAAAGATTATAAAGGTTTAAGGGGCACGGAAAGAGAAGTGGCATTACCAAATACACGAGGACACACATGTGCTCCTTGGGCAGCCAGTGGAAGAGGTCAGCAGGGTTACTGGGTAGAATCTCATCATCATGGAGAGTTGAGATAGCCTGGATGCACTGCTGCAGCTGCTTCAGGCATGGCTTCACACTCTTGACCTGAGGAGACACAGACATGATAAACAATCCTTTCTTACTTGGAAGCTTTTTACACCCAGACATCCTCCCCGTATACTTAAAACTGATGCATGCAACAATTTTTCTGTGTGTTAACAAAACTGTCATTTAAATCAGTATAATCAACTCCACCCTACCTGTCCAGCATCCAGGTAGTGTGTGACCTGTAGGACCAGGAAGAAGACCCTAAGGGACTCCTTTTGGATTGGGTTTCCCTGCCAGTTTTCTACAATAGTTCCACACAGTGTGAGGAGAGGATGCACCTCCCCGAGTTTCCTCTCCATTAGCAGCAACTAGAGGGTATGAAAACATCACCACAATGAAGACGTAGAGAATTTAATGTTGCTTTTGTTGTTTTTAACTCATATGGCGGTATTATTATGGTTGTGAATGTAGGTATTGTTATATGATTGATGTATATAATAAAAACATTCACATAAAATTGCAAGAAGAATTGTAATGTGTTGGTGAACGAAATCTAAGCTTTGTAAGTGTTTATAACACCAAAGAGTAACAGCACAAATAAAGTGAAGTATAAGAAGAAGACTTACCATTCCTTTACTAAGGAGAAACAATGCCCTAAAATAAGCAAACACATCAAGTCAGTTTATTTAGCTTAGTACATACTAGGTGGTTTTTCTGAACCCACAATGAAAAGAAAGTGTAAGGAACATTTGGTTTCATCTATAGGTCGAGAATAAAATTGGCAAAGTAGTCAAAACAGTACTTTTTACAATAAACAACTTGATAAATGTATATGGTGACACTGGCATTTGTGTGTGGGAATAAGAAATCAGCAACAAAACAGACTCGTTAAAAGTTTTATAGTCCACATCCCATGAACTGATTTGGGACAACTCATAAAATGGCAAAATCTCCATACAAACCGATAAGGAGTTTATCACTGAGGGTGTATAGGCTGGACTAAGACTCATAGTTCTGCTTGGTCTAAAATATTTTGTTTACATGCACCCAAAATGAATTGTAATGTCTAGTAAAACTGTAAGCATTATATGCTAAATGTAATGTTTGCAAACATCACATGGTCATATGAGATGTACCTGGTATATTCTGAGCCCACCACTCGGGCATACTCGGCCCCAACGCCCAGCAGGTCACACGCTGACACCAAGTCTTTCTCTAGTGTATGAAGTTGCTGAAAGAGACAATAAAAACATTGCTGTCATCACTTGGGACTGTTACTATTTGGACATGAAGTCCAAGAGTGACAAAAACTGCTTTTACACTGTCAACCAGAGCTTTGGGCTGTTGTGAATCTGTCTAACATCAACTCAAATCAATGTGGACCTGCATATGAAAATGACTTTAATGAAGGACACAATGTCACCCTAATAGGGACACATACATACATACCGCCAGCTGGAACAACAATCTGCAGTGCCAGTATGGTGTTTGCTGTGAAATCTGGATGGCCTTGCGCAGTAGGGGTTTTGCAGAGTCCACCAAATTCTGAAAATTGATTACAATAATCAATAAGTAATAGTCAATAACACATGCTCAGCCTATACTGCACGTAACACCACATACGCAGATTCTAATACTCACTCAGTTTCACTTTGTGGTGAGTGAAAGAAACTAAGCTTATTGTACTTTTAGCTTCATAAACATATTTAACACTAACATCAGCGTTACTTAAATTGCTTACCTGTTGGCAGAAGAGTTCTGACAATATGCTGGCAGCTTCAAATTTGACATCTTCAAACTGCGGGACCTGTTGAGATATAAACCACTGCAAGACAAAAGGTACACAATGTTGAGCGGCGAAAGATTGGCAGTGTTTGCACCGATAAAAAAAATCCCGTATAGTTAGTGGCTAACACTAGCGAAAGAACGAAACGATCGACTCGGACGATTATCTATTAATGCAATTAACCAAATGAAGACGCTAACGAGTCTAAAATTCTAACACGGTATTTGTTATTACTAATATAAGCTTCCTGAATGAACGGCTATATAAAAACTTCCCCTGTTGGCTGTTATCGCCGCCTGTGGCCTACACCCGTCCCCTCTCCCCTGCATCCCCGCTCTTTCCCAGAAGAAACTTCCCTCACCGCTTTCTCCAGGTGGCTGCGGGCCAGATCGCTATTCTTGGTGTGATGATAAAGAACCGAGCCCAATTGAAGATGTGTTCGGGCCTCGATCCTCTGCGGAGGCTTAAACTGAAAAACGGCCTGTAGACAGTGCACGCAGAGACGGATTTTAGGCGGACTAGAGGTTCGAAAATGCTCCGCAAACCCGAGTAGGGCGAGGTACCAGCGCTCCGGGGACTCTACGTTTGACGCCATTTTCCCCTACAACAACAACTTTTTCAGCTCTGAGGCCAGACTCTTGGGTTGCCAGGTTAGGTGACGTATAACCCCATTCCAAAGCGTCTAAAGCCTCAAAACATTAGTGCTAGCTTTTCTTCCTTTTACTAAATATTTAAAATGTGTTGAGTACTTGCTATTTTCTGAAACATTATATTGATACTTTTTATGCTTCATACACACTATAAAGTAACCATATATCTGAACTCATTATTAAAATGACTAATTTTGCTTTAACAAGGGTTTCATTGATCTGATAACCCTCAGTCAACAGAAAATGAATTGGAAATTCTGATTATTAGGTAGTGTGGTTGAGCAAAAATGCCACCCATTTCTAGTAATGACTTGTGGTTTATCTCTTTTTCATATCATGATTAATCTGATAGCCTACCTTTTGGTGTTGCACTGTTGATAAGGCAAGCAAGCAATTTAAAAATGTTTCCACAAACTCCGGAAATAATGTGTGTTTTTTTTTTATTTCTGATTAATTAAAAAAACTAATCACCACAAAGTAACTAATAATAAAAATAAATGTAAATTGCAGCCCTAAATCTACCTACCTACTTCACTTCATAAAACAGTATGTTCTGTAATGTGTTCAGAACATCTGCAATTCCATGACAAAATGAAAGTGAGTAGTGAAAACACATAGTGAAAACAGCCAGCAAGATCATCGGTTCCCCTTTGCCTTCCCTTAGGGACATCTTCAACCCCCGCCTCACCCGCAGAGCCATCAGCATTGCTGATGACACCTCCCACCCCGCAAACTCCCACTTCAGACTCCTGCCTTCAGGGAGAAGGTATCGGAGTCTTCAGGCCCACTCCACCAGACTTACAAACAGCTTCATCCACCAGGCTGTGAGGATGCTGAACACTGTTCACTACTTCCCCCCCCCCCTCTGCCTCTGGACTGTAACCCACCACAGAACCTAAAAAAATATAAAAAGACTACCCCTGCTGTTTGCACAAACTCAATACATTCCCCCTTCTGTTGTATTATATGTAAATCTGCGGCTGACTTTTTTTTTTTTTTGCCAGGATATCTGCTGCTGTTGGTTATTTGCAGTCCTGTCCATGTATACCTCATATGTTATTTGCTCCTCATCACCAACGCCCTGGTGACGCTGAACCATCTGACAATCTCCTATTATTGTTTGCACTACTGTCACTGACTGTACTCAGTTTTGAGTCACAGTTTATTGGCTGTACTGTTTAGATTTATCCAAATTACGTTAATCCAGTTCTTATTCTGTTCTATTCTGTTCTGTTCTGTTTTGTTCTATTCTATTCTGTTCTATTCTATTTTAGTTCCTAAATGTTATGGCACCCAATACTAGGTGAGAGAGAATAAGTTTCACTAAGGTTGGAAATGTAAAAATGCTTTGTGAAAGGGAAAAATATTTTTAAAAGTTTGTATAAACTAAAATAGTCCAGGTTGAATATCAAGTACAAATCTGGCAACAAAATGTTGTCTATAAAATCGCGGGATTTCATGTCATTAACAGGATTCTCTCCTCCATGATTGTAGTCCAAAATTCTGGTGTTGTGTCGATATGTGTCCTCCCCTCGAGATGTGCTCCAAAACAGACCGTATTCTGTTCCGGTTTATTTTAGCCCTTGAAAAGCTCTAATCATCTTGTGTGCTGCTCAGATAAATAAACAGACCGCCGCGATTTGGTACCCAACTTTTACGATCATCTTCAGAAGCGTCAACAGCGTGAAGAGACGTGGAGATACCTGGCAGCCTCTAACCAGCAACCAATAAACGTGTGCAAGAATCTGCAGAGCAGATTGGTGACTTGCACAACACATGGGGAATTTGTAAACACGAAGCCCTTTACACACAAACGAAGGTAACAAAATGCAACAATAAATGGTTACAAAGCTAGATTTAACGATAAACAGGCCTGTTTATTTATTGTTTGTATATCTGTGATTCGTAATGTATTTGAGGTATGGTCACTAAGTTATTAGTTTTAGGACATTAAGAAGAATCCACCGTGTGATTGATTGGTTAATAGGCTACTAATAGTTTATTGCTGAAAAATAACGTTGGGGTGATATTTTGTCATGCTGTAGCTTGCTTTGTTTACAAGCCAAGTTGACAGTGTTTGGGGTTTGGGCGTAAACGCAGTGACATATTGTACAGTACTCTGTGTTCTCACTTTATGATAAAAGTACTGAGGATGTGCGACGCGATCCTGTGTTATTTTAGCCCGTCTTTTTCATTGTCTCCGCTTATTTCCTCAAAAACGGTCCCCTGCAGTGTATTTTCCTGAACGAGTGGCCGAGTGTCTGACAAGGTGATGAAACATGGCCCACCGTATGCACGACCAACAAAATCGTCTGCCAGTGGCCCAGGCCACCGTGTTGGATCTGCCACCACCCAGCCAAGCAAAGGTGATCGATGTTCCTCTTATGACTCCTTCACACGTCCTGCTTCAGTACAAAAGATTTAAGATAATGCTTGTTTTGGCAAGTTAGAGCAGCAGGGTTGCATTTGAAGTTGATCCCAAACTGCATTTTTCTTGACCTGGTTTACACAAGCTTGTGTAGTGGTAGAAAGTAACTAAATACATTTACACATGTACTGTACAATGTTGAGGTATCTGTACTTGAGTATTTTAATTTTCTGCTGCATCATACTTTGACTTCACTGAATTTTAGAAGTAAATATTGTACTTTTTAGTTCACTGCATGTACTTTATAGCTTTAGTTACTGTTAACTTTTCAGAATCAAATTAATAAAACACAATGCAGTATAAGATTTGATTGATCTCTAGTGGAAAATTCACAAGCTACCCAGCAGTAATTTAAAATATAGGCATATAAGCTAGTTAAAACTAGCTCTCCCTTTACCAAATGTGATGTACACAATAATGCCTCAGTAATTATAATCCAGTTATTGGATATGCATTAATGTTAAATGATGATTACTTTTACTTTTTGTATTTTAAGTATATTTTGATGCTAATATTTTTGTACTTGAGTAACATTTTGAATGTAGGACCTTTAATTATAACAGAGTATTTATACACTGTGATAATTGTGAATTTTACCCAAGTAAACAATCTGAGTACTTCTCCCATCACTGAGCTTATGTTGGGAATCTGAACCAGAGTATAAAACTATATTTGTCAGCTGATTCTCAGTCTTACATATTACAGTCTGGGATTTAAAAAGAGCATTATTGCAAATGTAACATTTGAGAAGTTGTTCAGTTATCCCATTGTGGTATGATTTCTTTGTAACCAATAATTAAAGAAACCATACTATGTGATGTTCAGACTCTGCTCAGTGTTTAGGGCCTGTTGTTTTGACATGACAGATGTTTACTCTGTAAGGTTAGGGATTATATTATAGGATATTAAAGATAGATGCACTCACAAGAAAAAGTAATGGCACTGTTTCCAGTTTTTTGAAGTTGGTCTTCACCAAAGTCACAAATATCAATAAATGCAATATTTTGGAGGTGATAAAACACAAACAGTCATGATCTGTCATGTCTTTATTGAACACACCCATTAGACATACAAAGTGATGGTAGAAAAAGTAATGGCAACACTAGGCTTCTGATGTCACTAAAGAGCAACTTGAGTCAAGGTGTTAACAAACCTGTTGTTCATAGCATTGAAACTAAGATCATCCTAAGATATGAGCATCGCACAATAATATTGGTTTCATTTGACCTCAGACAGTACGTGTGGCCAGGTGAATTGACTGGTTATATGATAAGCCGTAATAGCTGTTTAAATCATCAACCTGCTTTTAAATGTAAATGAGTGAAATCCAAAACTCTACTTTCTCTCATCTGCTAAGTTTGTTATTCATGCTAAATGCACTTCTTATCAGTTAGTGAGATTGTTTAATGGGTTCAGATGTCCCTTCCAGCGGAATGAGTGGTGGAGTGCACATATATATACACAAACTCACACAAACAAAGGGCTCTGCTTTCTTGAAGGTCATGTTTGTTTTATCTCTTGTCAGTCTATCATAATAGCTAAGTCACTCAGGCAGATTACACTGTTGTGGATAGACACGGGAGCATTTGTGCTGATGAACCTATGGTATTTCAGTTACTTGCTTGTGAAGATCAGCCATGAACATAATGAGAGTAATGATTGCACTTACTTTCCTTGACCACAGTACAGTAGCCACTGTATGGTCTTGAAGATATCCTTAGTTATCTTCAGGGTCATGGTTCGGGATATCAGGTTGTATTTGTGTAGTCTGACAAAATGTCTCCTAAAGTAATACAATATAGATATGTCAATGTGTCTGTGTGTCTAAACAGGACTTGAGGCCTGCTCTGCAGTCCCTGGTCTGTGGTGCATTTGCTGGAGCTGTGGCCAAAACAGTCATTGCACCTCTAGATCGGACCAAGATAATTTTCCAAGGTAAGAACAACACTCCATAAAACTAGCTTTCCAGATATATAATATACAGATAAACAGAACATATATGTCAGTGAAATAGATTGTTCTGTATATTACATGTCACAGAACATGCAATTATTGTTTGTACCAGAGGTTTCAGTGACTGTTGTAGCTGCTCTTAAATAATTGTTAATCTTCTTAGTAGATGTTTAGCCTACATGGGGGAGTGTGTTGTTCAACCCTGAAGTTCACTGTGTTTCTTGTTGTTTCACAGTTTCCTCAAACAGATTCTCCGCTAAGGTGAGTTCAGCCATCTATCAGCAAAGCAGTCACTGAGTAATTCTAGACTTATTCAGTTTAATGCGAGTCTCCAGTGGCAGATGAGACAAAGGTGCAATGTATTAATGCACAACAATCAATTAGTCAATTTCAGAGTTGAAATTGATAATGTATTTAATCAGTAATAAATTTTTTATCATTTGGAAAATGCAAATACCCAACAGTTTTTGGTTACAACTTCACACATATGTTTACTTGCTTTCCTTCATATTAAACCTTTATATACTCACTGGCCATTTTATTAGGAGCACCTGTACAATTGTATGCAATGTACATTAGCATTTAGCTCAAAGCAATACTATGCCAAATTACAGCCTCATAGAGCTGTTAGCTTGGCTGTAGATTAATAATATCACTTTTTAAATAGGCAAAATAAAGTTTTTAATAAATAAAATCATCACTTAAAAACTGCATTTTGTGTTTACTTGGGTTATCTTTGTCTAATATTTAAATTTGTTTGATGATCTGAAACATTTAAGTATGACAAATGTGCAAAAGAATAAGAAACCAGGAAGGGGGCAAAAACTTTTTCCACGGCACTGTAATTATACAGCAGGACAATGTAGAGCATAAAATGTGAAAGGCTTATACCTCTGCTGTTAACCCAACATATATGTACTATGCCCAGGAGGCCTTCAGGCTCATCTACTGTACATACATGAAGGATGGCCTGCTCAGTCTGTGGAGGGGGAACTCTGCCACCATGGTTAGGGTCATGCCTTATGCTGCCATCCAGTTCTGCTCCCATGAGCGGTACAAAAAACGGCTGGGGAGCTACTATGGCTACCAGGGAAAGTGAGTAAAGAATCCACATTTGAGTAGTATTGATTATGTTTTTTTCCAATTCTTTTAAAAATAAAATATTATGGGGAGTGTTTGCAGTAATACTAGTGGAATGGCTCTCAGTGTGTCACTGTCACATCCACTTGTCGGCCCCTTAACCCAGACTGAAATAATTCAGAATAGAGCATACATCGTCATGAAATTTGGTGCAGACCTCAGCTGTAGTTTGTATTTAGTGCTAAGTAGCAGATGTTAGCATGCTATTGTGCTAAACTAATAATTATATCTGTGAAACATCAGTATATTAGCACTGTCATTGTGAGCATGCTAGGACGTTTACATTAGCATTTAGCTCAAAGCAATACTATGCCAAATTACAGCCTCATAGAGCTGTTAGCTTGGCTGTAGATTAATAATATCACTTTTTAAATAGGCAAAATAAAGTTTTTAATTTTGTTATTTTGTATAGTTCATTTTCATGTTTGTTTCAGAGCTCTGCCTCCTTTTCCACGTTTCTTGGCTGGCTCTCTAGCTGGGACAACTGCTGCCATGCTTACCTATCCTTTGGACATGGTGCGAGCCAGGATGGCAGTCACTGCCAGAGAAATGTAAGCTCCTATCCCTGTTACATTCCCATAACATATTGTATTAGTCCAGATGTTTTCTTGCCATCACAAAGTTAAGAGGATCATTCCAGGACACAGCAGATAGTCTAAACCAGGGCTGCCTAATACATCGATCGCAAAGGTAGTGTTGGTAGATCTCGTGTCAGTATAATGAGCTTAGTTAATGCTTTCAAACGAAAAATGCAACATTTTGCGAAACTTCCAAAACCTTGCATCAGAGCTGGAGACGCAACGGAAAGCATGTGCACAACTTGCCATTGTGCGCTACACAAAGCAGATTGACAACTGTCGGTCAGAGTTTGACAAACGCTTTCAAGACTTTGCCTCACTTGAGCCAGTCGCTACATTTATGTGCTACCCATTTATGGAAGATACTGAGGTTGATTCACTCGCGCAACAAAAATTGCAATGCTGTTTCACCTGAACTGGTCTGGAGTGGAGGATGAGATACTGACACTGCAGACTGACATTCAAGTCCAGGGCTAATGAACCGTTTTGGAACTTACAGAGGAAAATTACCCAAACATGAGGAAATGTGCCATTGACTGCATTATTTGGCTCTACTTATTTGTGAGTCAGCATTTTCTCATACGAAGATTAAGTTCAAATACCGTTCCACCATGACTGATGACCATCAGGAAGTCTGCTGGAGGCTACCAGCAGCGTAGTGGCACAGCACACAAATCCACACTCACTCGTACACTGTCATTTTTCTCCCTAGAAAGACTGGGGGGGGAAAAACAAATCCCGGAGCAAACAATGGCTAAAAAGATGGATAGGAAGACATGAATGGGTGAGAAGAAACCAGCTAATGCTTTCCTTGTCACTTTTCACTTCAATCTGGCTGATGTAAATTTGGTTTCTGCCTCTGCTATTTAGGCAGCAAACAAACAAACAAAAAAAAAGACTGCATTTCATTGCTGGGATGACATGAGAGCCAAACATGTCTTTTTCCCTAAATCACAGCTGCCTGTTCTTTTAAATAAGTATCCATTCATTGCTGACACAGAACTGTGGGGG